GATGCTGCTTAATTGGCATCTTAACTGCAAGGAACTCAATGAAAATTAAATTTTGGAGAAAAAATTTTACTTCTAATGAAAAAAGGACTGATCATATATTGATAGAATGAGATTCATAAACTCATTTTGCAAAAATAATATGAAGAAAAATGATTTGCTTAATCATGAAAGTATCAAACAAGCCTCATTTCCTGGAGAGAGAGAGAGAGAGAGAGAGAGAGAGAGAGAGAGAGAGAGAGAGAATGGGAGAGATCAGGCTTGTGAAAGAGTGTGTGTGTCAGCAGGAAAGTAAGCACATGTGCATGTATGCACAAGAGTGTGTGCCAGAGTGAGCGTGCACACAAGGGTTCATGCTGGAAATGCAGGTGAGGATTAGCTTAGGGCTAGTTTGAATAGTTTGGTCTCTGCTTTTGGATCAGAGGCAATCAAAACATCTTTGAAGTTTCATAGAGGCTATGCCAGTCAGTTCAAGACCTCCTGAAGAGTAGTGAAAAATATTTGGATGAAATCATATGTTTGGTATATGGTTGGGTGGGGAGGAAGAGGAAGTATGAGAAACCAGTTGGCTATGAGAATGTAGCAGTCCCATGGTAAAATGCTTACTATATCCTCCAAAGTCATGATATAAATGCTTCTGAAAACCATAGCATCATTCTTCATTTTTTACTGAAGAGAGTGAATTTTAAATTCAGTTCCATTTTCCCTTTATTTTTTTTAAAGATCGTTGTTGACATTCTACCCAGAACCCCTTGGACCTCTTGGACAGGTCTGATGTGTTCATGCCTAACTTCTGAGTGTTTTCTGCTAATAGTTTGCACATGTGAGCTTCAGAGATCTGCCCTTTAGCACTAAAGATAGAAGCCTAGAAATGCCTTGGAGTGTGTCTGCAGTTCCTCATAGTAGAGTTGTCAGGTAAAATACAGAACTCCCAGTTAAATTTGAATTTCATATAAACAATAAATAAGTTTTAGTATAAATATACTAATATTTATATAGTATATGAATGAAAATAGTATTTCATTGTACATACTTGAAAAAAAAGTTGTTTATCTGAAAATCAAATTTACCTGGGCATCTTGTACCTTTATTTGCTAAATCCATAAATCTATCCAAGGGAATTCATATCCAATGCACTGATTGTTACAAGAGTGCAATAGTCTCCTCAAAATGGAAAAACGCAGAGATATACTCCAGAGCCCCTGAAAGGATCAAGCTAAGTCCTCAAAATCAGATCCCACCTGAGAGAGCACATTGCTTAGTTTCTTCCCCTTCTTAATTTTGCTTCTCTTAGTCCCTTACTGTATCCTTCTGGAATCATTTCATTAATAAGTCACTTGTCTATGAATACTGGTGCAAGGGTCCATTTCTGGGAGAGCAGGACTTAAGATAGATATCTCACAAATCATACCACATCGATAACTCATCACAAGGTAAAAGGGGTTCGAAATCAGTACATTGAAGAGCATTCTGTTTAATAATAATAGTTTACTTTTATATATTTTTTAAATCTTCTATGTCTCGTCTCCTATGTCAACTCCCTAGCAACCAGTGAAGAGCATGCTCTTCTAGGAGGCTGCCAGGCTTTGCCTAACCCATTCATTCCTTTACTGTTTTGAAATGACTAAAAGAAAATAAAGTCAGCTAGGTATCTGATAAAACATCATTCCAACTGTGATATGGTGTGAGTTTTAAAAAAGAACGCCTAAACTGTTCCAGGAAAAAAGCAATGTACCATGATGAAACATACATTGTGGAGGAGACAGGGAAAGTAATTGCTAAAGTAAGGTAATAGACCATAGACTAGGATCTTACACTCTCTTTAGGGTGTTCTATCATCTAAAATGAATTACAGTGGAGAATGAAATTCTGCTTGCAGAACCTAAGAAGGAAAGAAATCCTGCCAGTTTTACTATTGGCTTTGCAGAATTACTGGATCTTCAAGCAAACAAAAGGGAGTTAACAGCTTTAGGCGATGGGGGTAAGAGATCAACCGAAGGACTTGTATGCATGCATATAAGCATAACCAATGGACATAAGACACTGGGGGGTAGTAGAGGCCAGGGGATTGTCAAGGGCGGGGGAAAAAAAGGACACATATGTGATACCCTTTGTAATACTTTAAGCAAAAAAATAAATAAATAAATAAACAAATAAATAAATAAATAAAAAAGAAAGAAAGAAAAAATTGGCCACCTCATGTCCCAGCTTTCTAAGGCATAATTTGGGGACAATGTAACTCAACTTACTGGGGAATTCTATTAATGAGCCATCATTGTAATAAATGCAGGTTCTATGCAAAGGACATTTTGCTCTACTCATCTCCCAAACATCTTTACTTTCTTAATGGGAAAATATTGTTCTTGGCATGCTTAAGCCAAAGCACCCCTGAGTACTGTATTCTGATGATCTGTATGCCATTTCAGGTATTTACAATTTAAAAGATAAAGTCTACTTGAGACCTCCTTCCAGTTTACCAGAAAAACAAGAAACCCCTGGGTCAATACACTTGTATTTGGTAAAACATGTCCATCTGGCTTTATAGCCTTACTAGAGGCCTGGTGCACGAATTCCTGCACGGATGAGGTCCCTCTGGGTGGCCTGCAAGGATGGGGCCTAAACCTGCAGTCTAATGCTGCCTGCAGCTCCTACCTGCTGCTCCCACTCATCCCAGCCCCACTGTACCTGCTGCGGCTCGTGCCCAATCAGTCTCTACTGGGAGAGGCTTGCACTGCCATAGCAGCGCTCACCAACCATGAGCCCTGCCTCTGATGCCCTCCCAAGGGGAATGGCCTGCGAGATTGGGCCGAAACCAGCTCTCCAACATCCCCTGAAGGGTCCTGGGTTGTGAGAGGGCACAGGCCAGGCTGAGGGACCCCACCGTTGAACAATCGGACCAGGGAGGGACCGCAGGAGGGCTCCAGGGCATGTCCAGCCCATCTCCCTCAATCCCTATCAGCCGGACCTTAGCAGCAAGTTAACCTACTAGTCAGAGCATCTGCCCCCTGGTGGTCAGTGCATGTCATAGCGAGCGGTTGAGCAGCCTTAGCATATCATTAGCATATTATGCTTTGATTGGTTGTTCAGTTGTTCTGCCGTTTGGTCTATTTGCATACTACCCTTTTATTATATAGGACCTTTTATTATATAGGATGGTTATTTATACACAGTAGTAGATAAGGCACAAGGATTAAACCCAGGCAGATAGACTCTACAAGAATAGCCAAGCACTGTGATATTGGAGAGCATACCCCTTATTCTTGAGTAACTATAAAAAATTAATTTAAAATGGAATAATCTAATTGTGTTTGTTGGGTGTGGGGACTTATGGTGGGGTTTTTTTGTTTGTTTTTTGAGCAAGGAACTCCATATTTACTCTTTGCATATATAATGTCCCTCTTAAATGATAGCCTGAAGTGTAGCCAAGATGGCTCATCCATGGAGTCCCTGAGAGGTTGAGCAAAAATAGCAACACTTAGTTTTTTGCTTATCATCTCCAAATAATTTTGATGTCTGAGAGTCAGGAGTTCAACCATGCAAAACAAACGTTTTTGTGGGACACAACATTGGGTTTCCCTCAAGGGAAGTCAAAGGTAACTATTTCAAGGGCAAAGGCAAGCAGTTTAAATTTTATTGTAAAGAAAATGATCTATATTCTTGAAAATTTGGAAAATACTGATTATAGTGATGATTTTTTGATAGTAGATAAATGATTTATTTTATCCTTCCATATGTTTTTCTGTGCAGTTTTACATAAAGAAACACTAGTTTGCAGAAATGCTTAGGGAAAAAACAGCAACACAGGTATGGAAAGTCACCGTGAAAAAAAAAATAGACTTAACAGTCAAAAGAGTGTCCTCTCTAGAGGGTTTGCTGTTCTACATTCTAAAATGAATAACAGGGAGAATGTAATTCTGATTGCAGAACCTAAGGAAGTTCTACTTCTTTTTTTAAATATATTTTTGATTTCAGAGAGGAAGGGAGAGGGAGAAAAAGATAGAAACATCAATGATGAGAAAGAATCATTGATCGGCTACCTCCTGCACGCCCCCACTGGGGATTGAGCCTGCAACCCGGGCATATGCCCTTGTCTGGAACTGAACCCGGGACCCTTGAGTCTGCAGGCCAATGTTCTATCCACTGAGCCAAACAAGCTAAAACAGGGAGTTCTACTTCTTAGCTTTGCAGAATTACTGCAGCTCTAAGCAAGCAAAAGTAAGTTAACATTTGGAAGAAGTAGAGAAACATGAAGGTAGATCTTTTTCTTATCACTGCCTTCGAAAATACACTAATCGTGAAAGTAAGCCTTGACTTGTGCCCCAGCAAGATAAAGAAAATCAAGCCTGATATAAAATGATTGGCTATGCTCTTTTTAATTTTTTTCTTTATTTATTAAGGTATTACATATGTGTCCTTATCTCCCCATTGCCCCCCATCCCCCCACTCATGCCCTCACCCCCCTGTTGTCTGTGTCCATTGGTAAGGCTTATATGCTCTTGACAATTCTTTTTATTTCCCTTTACTTTGCTTGGCAAGGTGATAGCTCTATATATAGGAGCTTCTCACTTGGCTCCACTGATAACAAGTTAGAGGAGGTGGTACTAGAAAGAAGTTGAATTTATGGGAATTCTCTAAGGCAGTTCAAATGACGTTCGTAATTTTTAAAAAGCTACAATGAATGTATATGACATTTAGAGTTTTCTTTTTCAGAAGGTTTAGCAGAAAAAAGATCAAGAAATCAATTAAAAGAATTTATTTTCCATTTGAACTACAGCCCTGAGTCCCAAAACATAAAATCTCATCCCTGCAGGAAACACAGATGATTTCAATAGCTGTACTTCCAGAAGAAGTATAAGTTTTCATTTCAACTAAAAATATTCTCCTGGCCTTTCATGTTATTTTAGGGGTTTTCTAAGAGGTGATATTTCACAGGCACCTAGAAGTAGTGTTTGGATGGAAATACATCTTATCCTCAGGCTATACCATTGTCCAATTTGTCTTACCTGTCTGAACTGGGGGCTGATTTCAAATGCCGAAAATTTCGGCTATCTAAGTCCATGCTGTAGCTCCACCCACTTTCAGTGTTTGGAGTTATGATGATTTCTCCTCTGGCTGCTGATCTGAACTTGCTAAGAAGAAATCTGAAGGTATATAAATAACTATACAGTGGGTCCTTGACTTATGAGTGTCCCGACTAACGAGTTTTTCGAGATACGAGCCATCTCTCGGCCGATTTTTTGCTTTGAGTTGCGAGCTAAAATTCGCGTTACGAGCCAGCTTCAGATACCCCACCGCTAGTTGGCACAGCGAACGTCACAGTGAACACCACAACATCAGCCCAGCATCACGTGTCTCACTCGTTTACTTTTTGATTTGACATATGAGTAATTTGAGTTACGAGCTCCGTCACGGAACAGATTAAACTCGTAAGTCAAGGCCCCACTGTATTTAAAAGATAAGAAATAAAGCATTTTAAAATATAATTTCAAAAATACCATTTTTAGTACTTTCAACAGTAAATGATTTTTCAATAGAGTGGCCTTGGGACTGAGAGGTTGTGGGGAGTTCCCATGCCTCTACAGTACAGTGTCAATGGTAGTAGTAGAAGAAATTATGACATTCTCCCAAGGCCATAACACTTGCTGGTAAGTCAGGCCTCTGTCCATACTAAGAAAAATGCAACTGACTGGGAACTCACCACTCTCTGGGTTGAGCCTGTTTTCAGGAGTGTTGAGAAAAAAAGAGCTTGAATTCATTTTGAGGGGAGCTCAGATGATCCTCTGGGACAAACGGAGGTGGCAGCTTATTAGACTGCAGCTCCATGACAGCCACAAATTTCACCTTGATACTTCCTGCCAATATGCCCCTGAGCATAAACTGATGCCTGGCAAATACTAGAACCCAACCAATTTTTGTAGAATGAATGACTAAACCCATGTGGCTGGAACTATCTTTATCTCTTCTATAACATTTTTCCCTGTTGTACTAAAGTGTGAACAATAGAGTGTCTCATATAGTATGAAACCTGATTGCATTTCACTAAATTATTTAGAACTTGAACAAAAATAGCTTTTAGAAACTAAGGTTCAAGTCATGATCCACGCTACTAATGCCCCAAACATAGGGTTTTCAAATGTGCTTTAATAAAAAAAGTTGTATTATTTTTGTGATGGCTCTGGGAGAGACCAGTTCATTTACTCAACATTCTACAGTTTTCTAAGGAGGAAATGTATTCAAAGGTACTAGGACAATCTTGATGGAATTTGCCAAGTTATCTCTGTTTCAAAAACACTGGAAGATTGTCTTGTCAAAAGCTTGAATCTAATTGGAAAATTAGATTTTTTGTTGAGAATAACACTTAATATAATCTTAACCTGTGCTGCTCTGAGACCCACCTGGCACATGTCCTCACCTCTGAACTTCTACTTAAGGTGTCTCCTCTACCTTAATCACTCTCCCCCTTTTTGCTATCTTGGACCCCAACTATCTTTCAAAGTCCTCATCAAGTCCCACTTACAATTTGATGTCTTTCCTAATGTCCCCTGTGTCCTCCTGACAGTGATTATCTATGCCACTTATTTAACATTTACTTAATTATCTACTGACTTATGACATCTCTTGTAGTTAATACCTTGCCTTGTTTTAGAAAGGCTTTCAAGCAGCTCATATTATCATCTTATAGTTTCCTAAATTTTTTCTATACATATTAAAATTTCAGGTATGTACCTTTCTCCCCAACTAGGTGTTTACATTCCTTGAAGACCGAGAACCATCAGATCACAATTGTGAGTTCCAGAGGGGCTCAGTCCAGTGCTATGACTATTTTTTTTAACAATTCCAGGTGTATATAATTCATTGTGCTGGACAGCTATTTACTAGTATTTTCTCCAAGCTCTAAGCTCAACATTTTGCTGTAAACCTATGCAGTGGTGCCTAAATTGGGGTCTGCAAACTACAGCTCCTAGAAGCAAGCACCTGTGGGATCTGAGTTACTTATTCAATCAAGCCATTGATTGTTTTTGACAAGCCAGGCACCATGCTGTAGCACAAAAACAAAAAAGCAACAGGCCCAGTACCAAGGGAGCTTACAATTAAGTATATGTGTGTGTACGTGGTGGGGGGAGGGCAGTGTGTGTGTGTGTCAGAATGAAATGTAAGGAGTGATGCACAGGCACAGGGAGTTATGAGGAGTGATGAATGCAACATGATAGGAAGAATCAATACATGGGATGTATGGTTACTCTAGGCTAACTTCTCCATTCATCTCTGCTAATTAATGAAGACATGGTTAGTCATAAGTGTTTTAGTTAGAGGACATTTAGGTTTCATTCCTACTTGCAGTTCAAAATTCTAAAAAATAAAAACAAAAAACCAACTTTCTGTAGAACCAGAAAAAGTCTCAAACACTGGCAGTCTCTCACATTGATTTCTGATGAGAAAATGATGCAATACTACCTGGAAATTACCATAAAGTAATTTGGTGCATATTAGAACTCTCACTACCTCAGCCACAAAACTAATCAACAGCTGCCTGAGAAATGAAGACTGAAAAATGCTGTGAAGCAGTAGTTTGACTTTTGGTCCTCGTAGCCAGCATTTTATGGGCCACTTTTCCCCCTTGGTGGAACTCTTGTCCCCATTTTTCCAGGCCTCCTTGAATCTTATTTCCTGACTAGAGGCCCGGTGCATGAAATTTGTGCACTGGTGGGGGGGGGATCCCTTCAGCTCAGCCTGCACCCTCTCCAATCCGGGACCCCTCGGGGGATGTCCTAAACTGGCAGTCGGACATTCTTCTCACAATCCTGGACTGCTGGCTCCTAATTGCTCACCTGCTTGCCTGGTCACCCCTCACTGCCTCTGCATGCTGGCCTGATCGTCCCTAACTCCCCTCCTCTGCCAGCCATGTCACCCCCACTGCACCCTCCCTGCTGGCCTGATCGCTCCTAACTGCGCCCCCTGCCCCTGCCGACCTGGTCACCCCATGCAGCCTGCTGTTCAGTCGTTTGGTCGTTTCTCACTAACTCCCCTGCCAATCTGGTCATAGGCAGCCATTTTGTGAGGGCGTGACAGTCAATTTGCATATTACCTATTTATTATATAGACATGTATCCTATTACTATTCTCAGTAACTGACACATACATTGACTTTGTGAATTGTAACTGAGGTGCCAAATGTGATTTTTCCCCTTAAGAAAACCTGCATTTTAAACAGGGGATATAAGGTTTTTCTGTCCAATTAATAAGTATTTGATTTGGATATTTCACATATCAGCACTCAGGATGGGGGGAGGAGTGTTGACATTCTACAATAAAATCAGTCATCACCTCTTAATATACAGGACTAGCCCTGACTTGAAACCTACCTAGAAGTGATGGTAACCACTTGGTACAAGACTGGATATATCAAATGCAAGAAAAACTCTTAGATGTTCAGATCAGAGAGAACTTTTATTCACCTAAGACTGAAAGTAATTAAAACTGCATTTCCTCAGGAGAATGTAACCTTCGTTGAGTCTCTGACATTCTCTGGGTCACTGAAGTGACATCAAGACTTCAAATACTGAGGAGTCTTTATTTCAGAGGTGTCCAGAATAAAGGTAAAAAATTCCCTTGGAAAGGCTGTCTTACCCCTTTTCCTTGGACTCATCATGGCTGGCCTTCTGCCCTGTAGAAGGTGAAGTGTTTGACTTTTCTGCATCCTGGTGGTTTTTCTCTTGGCTTTGTATTTCTTTAGCTCCTCATTAAAAATAATCAGAAGACAAATTCATATACAAAATGGCTAGAAATGAGAACAATTTTCTATTCTTCATCCACTTTCCTACATTAGCACAAGACAAAGAAGTCTATAATAATTGTCAATGATATGTCCAGCCCTTCCTGCCAGACTTTAAAACAAAGGCATTAGTCTCCAGTGTCTTCTAGGAACAGGCCAGAAGATACCTTTACTACACCACACATGAGAAATATGCTCCTAAACACAAGTTTTATCCAATACTTAACAATTAAATTATAGTTTGAATGCACAGAATAGCATTCTCAGGGTGGGCTGTTATTCACATTTGGTGACAATATAATTCTTCATTGAGTGAAACTGCCCTGTGCTTTTCAGACTATGGAATATCTCTGACATCTGACTGTTAAATGCCATTAAACCCCACCCTTGGATTTCTAAATGCTCCCCTCGATTGGGGGAGGGAGCACAATGCACAATATTATGTCTTGGTTGAGAACCACTGGATTAGAAACAGTAACATATAAAAGAAATCTGAAAAACATCTTGTTGAAAAGTCAAGGATTGCCCTAACCGGTTTGGCTCAGTGGATAGAGCGTCAACCTGTGGGCTCAAAAGTCCCAGGTTCGATTCCGGTCAAGGGCATGTACCTTGGTTGTGGACACATCCCCAGTAGGGAGTGTGCAGGAGGCAGCTGATCGATGTTTCTCTCTCATTGATGTTTCTAACTCTCTATCCCTCTCCTTTTATCTCTGTAAAAAAATCAATAAAATATATTTTTTTAAAAAAAGAAAAGTCAAGGATTGTTTTTACAATGTGACAATGTGAGTTATTTAATTCATGTGGTTTGTGTTACTTCCTTAAATATTTAGTAAAATATTGTAAGTGAATTCAGTAAAAGAACTGTCTATGATGAAGATAAATATCTTCTTTAAGAATCTGTGTATCATATATATAGAAAATCAGTGTGTATTTTTTTCTATTTATTTCCTCTTCCCTTGTATGAATTGCAAGTTTAGATTTCATGTTTTGAAATGACCTAAGACAGTGGTCGGCAAACTCATTAGTCAACAGAGCCAAATATCAACAGTACAACGATTGAAATTTCTTTTGAGAGCCAAATTTTTAAACTTAAACTATATAGGTAGGTACATTGTTACTAACTTAATTAGGGTACTCCTAAGGCTTTGGAAAAGCCACACTCAAGGGGCCAAAGAGCCTCATGTGGCTCGCGAGCCACAGTTGGCCGATCATGGACCTAAAAGATTCAGAAAATTTAACTGTGCTCATTTGCTACATAATAGAGGGAAGTTATTTAGCCTGAAAAAATGAAGATTAAAAGAATTTTGAAACCAAATAATTGCTTAAATTACCTGGATTTCTTCTTAAGATGGACTGCCGGACAACATCAGTGCCTAGAACATTGACTTGCTTGAAACGTTTTGCCTTTTCTTCAAAAAACCATTCACCAGTTATAATTCTCAGCTGCCTGCACAGGGCGAAAATGAGGAACATTGAAATTCAGTTATTTAGCTAAATATATATCTCTCAAAAATCCCGAATTAAGTAAAAAACTGGCAGTTATTTATAGAGTCCATCTCAATCTCTGCAGTATTATATGGTGGTTATTATGGTCAGTATTAGTTGAATATATACTATGTACCAGGAACTGGGTGATTGATTTTTATACTTAATATATTTTTACCCACATAACAACTCTATATAAACATTATTATCCCCATTTTACAGATGAAGAAACTCAGACAGAGCAATAAAATGACATGTCCCACATCACATAGCTGGTAAATAGGAGAGTTAGGATCCCATCCCAAGCAGTCTGGCTTAGGGCTCACGTTCTTAACCACTGAATTAGTAGGTAAATAATTTTCAGTGGAAACACATGAAGGTTTTGAATTAAAAAGGAGCCATGATAAGACTGTTTTAGAATGACAACTTACTTGTAATATGATGATGGGGTTAGAGTAACGAGAGAATGGGACAAAGAGACAGATTGTCCATGACAATAATCCAGAAGAGATATGACAAGACCCATGCTAGGGCAATGGCAAGACTAACAGAGAAGAGAGGAAAAATTAAAAATGTAGGTGGTAAAAGGGCTTGACTGAATTTCACAACCAATTGAATGTTGAAGGTAAAAAATAAGGATCTTTGAATAATCAAAGACATCTTTTAAGCCCCACTTGCAATAGTAACACAAACTCTTTACCCCAATTACACAGGCTTATTACCAGAACATGGACCATCTCTATCATTGGGAAAATAGTATTTAATAACCACTGTCCCAATACTTCTATGGAAGGTTGTAATTGAAAATGAGGTTGAAAGATAGGATTCAGTCATATAATGGAAATCTTTGAATGTTATACTAAAGTTAGAATGCCATTCTGAAGGCAATGGAGGAACTCTGGCAGTTTTTTTTAAGTTTAGTTTGGATCATATAATCTCTGGAATATTATATGGAGACGGGAAAAGCCAGAAGCTGACAGGCCAATTAGGATGTTATTGCAATAGATGGCATATAAAATTATGAAGATGTAAACCAGGGTATCATAGGGGCAAGGGATGAAAAGAAATATGTAGATACTCGAGTCACTGAGGATGAGAATCAGCAAAACTGGTGACAAATCCAATATGGTGGCTGAAGAAAAGCAGCTGAGAGTCAAATAGAGATTTCTAGCTCCAGAATATTATATCCATGTGATTCAGAAACTGATTGGACTTAGAAAACAACAATTGGATTCTAAATATAAAAATCATTCCAGAAAAATATGCCAAATTATTACCAAAGCATTTACCCTGAAATTAGATTTCTGAACACACGAGAAAAGGTAAATTATAAACAGTTTCTTTATTGAGGAAAGAATAAAAATGCTATACTTGGAGCAAATTATTCATTGAAAAGAAAGACATCTCATGTACATCACAGATTTATTTCCAAGTTGCTAGATCACCTAATGGGAAGCAAGGACTGTTGAATTAGCTCCAAAACTGTATAAAATATGCTTATAAAATATGTCAAATCTAAGGAGATCTAATCTAGAAAAACAAATGTTTGAATGGGTTAAATTATTTCTGTATACATCTCAAGTGCTCTATGGACTTATATATCATTATTTAAAAATCTAGGTGGTAATTGTGCTATTCTAAATTCTAAAACTATCTCCTCAAGGTTCCCATCCCTTAGTATTAAGCCAAATGATAATCTAGCTACTGCTATGATTAAACTTTGTTTATGGAATTAAAATTTGTTTATGGAATTAAAATTTCTAATCATCTCACCCTAAAATAGGGAGATTGTCCTAGATCAGGGGTGGGCAACCTTTTTGTGAGTGCGTGCCAAAACCAGCAAAATCTCTGACTCAAAATTCTTCTGCGTGCCAACCCTAATTTTTTGAGAATATGTTACGCCTACTTGATATCTCTTAAGGTGTACGTATGTGAAGAACCTTAAAGAAATAATAAAATTCATTCGAGCGACAAAAACACAGTATATAATGATGAAAAATACATTTATTTTTTAATGTATACATGTACACTGATAGTCCGACAGAACACTTTATGACTCCGTTTGATATTATCAGTGGGACTTTTGCTGCTGCATCACTGATGACAGAGATTTGACATCAGGTTTATATTTCGTGACCTTCAGAGATATGCATGAGCTACTACTTTCATCCATCAGGCTACTCCTATTATGAGACTTAACAAAATTCATCACTGAGAACAAAGATTCACAAGCGTATGTGGATGAAAACATGGAGAGTAACGCTGTTGCAAAGTTTTTTAAACAGAAAAAAATTTCTGGAATGGCATTCCAAGTCCTCAATAGTTCGTTTTCGACACCTCTCTCTGGTACTCCTGTCTCTAATCGTTTTTTTTCAATGTTTTCCAAGTCAACTCTAAGGTCAATAAATTTCTGCTTCCAAATTGAACTACTCTGAAATTCAATCAACTGCATTTCAAAGTCAGCCATGTCTATCCATGAAAACATTTGTAAGTTTAGTTCCTCCAGTTTCATGCTGTCTGGAATCCTCATGAATTTTGCTGTCTCTTCCAGTTCTCTGAATTTCGCAAATCTTGAGAAGAACTGCTCAATAGTTGACTCGATGATGTTTAAAAATAGCTTTTGAAGACTTTGACAGTCTGTTCTGTTATCTTTTGGGAGGTCTTTGATGTGCCTCTTGAGGTTTGGGAAATATCTAAATCTCTCACCATCCACATCCCTCTTAAAGACTTCCAGGTTCTTTTCAAAAGCTTTTATGTAAACAAACATAACATCAAGTGTCTTGCCAGTTCCTTGTAATTTAACATTTAAGTCATTCAAATGTTCACAAAAATCTGCAAAGAACATCAGTTTAGAAACCCACATTGCGTCAGACAATTCTTGGTAAGAAACATGTTGGTTATTCAGAACCAAACCTCAGCTAAGCCATCGAACATTGTTGTACATTTTCAGTCCTTTATACACAGATTCAGTAAAACTTGAAATTGTCTTTTATTTAATGTAATTAACAACATTGGTAACTGTTTGCATCACTTCCTGCTGTTCAATCAGGCCAGCTTTTGCACATAAAGCCTCCTCCTGTATGATGCAGTGTATGACCAACTTCTTTCGCAAACAGATTTACAAAACCTGCCTTCTCACCAGTCATGCAAGGAGCACCATCAGTGGTGACGGACATTACTTTTGAAAGGTCAATTTGTTTAGAAGAGAATTCGTTCATAACTGCTTTACATATTTCAGCCCCGGTAGTATTCTCAGGTAGAGTTAGAAGGGCAACCATCTCTTCACATGTTTCATCACCTTTACAAAGTCGAGAAAAAATGGCCAGCCTAGATGACGATGTAATGTCTGTACTTTCATCAATACAAATAGAAAAAAATTGACATGAAGACAAATCTTTTAATTGTTCAGCAGTATTACTCGCCAACTTAAGTATCCTATCCTTAACTGTTTTCCTGCTCACGGACAAATCTTTAATGCGCTGAATAATCTTTTCTTTTTCTGATAAATCGTCAAAAAGGAAAGGTGCACATTCTAGCCAAGTTTCTTTAATATGCTCTCCATCACTGAGTGGTTTTCCATGTTGGGCAATGACTTTTGAAACTTCAAAACTAGCAGCAACTAAGTTGAAACTGGACCTGCCTGAGATGAAGTTCATAAAATTATCAGCCTGTTTTTTTGTTTTGCTGAGTTCACGAGAAATTAATTCTCTTGTTCCTCTTCGGTTTTATTGCTTATGTTCTTATGAACACTTTCAAAAATGCCTTTTTACAGAAGATGTTCTGCAAACAATAGTTTCAGAACAGAAAACACATAAGGCTTTGTTGTCTTTCTTAATCACACCAAACTTTTCTGTCCAGTATTTTTGAAATTCTCTAACATCCTCTTCAGCTGAACGACATCGTTTCTTAGCTGGTGGTCCTGACATTCTGCACAATCTAGAAGGACAGAAAAAATACATGAGATGATGGTATATGTGAAAAAGGTGAAAGAAGAAAAGTAAAATGTCAGTAAGTGATTAATTAGCTTGATCAAACTACTGTACTGGTATTACTTTTTAAATTAGAGTAAATATAAAGAAAAATAGTTTGCTATCCCTACAAAATGGTAAGTCGGGCGCGACGCAGGGAACAGTAAAGATAAAGCATGTAAAAAATCACAAAATGTAGAACCTTTATTTATAATTCATAATACATTGTATGCATATCAGTTATTATTATTTTTATTTATAAAATTTGGTTTATGGGTAACAACAAAAATGTGACAAACTAAAAATATTTCCTAAGGAAAATAACAGAATAAAGAAGAAAACATAGACAAATACAGCATAATGTAATAGAAGTATGGTAATTATGTAACTTACTTCTCTGGGCAGACGGATACGTGTGATGATGACGTCACTGGGTTACTGCTGCAGCGCGTATTGAGAGAAACATAGAAATTTATTCCCCTTTCGTTAGGACCAGTGGACAAAGCGAGAGAGAAGGTTTCATTTTTATAGAGTGAAATTTTGAATAAGTAGGTAAGGCGGTAGTCTTGTCAATGAAAACCCGTTGCGTCTGAGGCTGAAACCAAAACACAGGTCGGATCTAGGAAGGCAGGGAGAGTTAAGGCAGAGGCATAGAAATTGCTCTTCCCCTCTCTCGTCAATCCATGTCTATGGTCTTTAAGATAACTTGTTATGTAAAATTATTAATTTATCTGAGATGCACCTACACTGAATTTATCTGAAAAATAAAAAAGTCGATATTAAGAAAAAAATTGTAAATGGAAGATTAAAAGAGAGGGTTTCGCGTGCCAGCAAAAGTTACTGGCATGCCATGTTTGGCACGCGTGCCAGGGGTTGCCCACCCCTGTCCTAGATTATCTTTATGGACCTGAAGTAATCACTAAGCCTTTAAAAACAGGAAGAAGAAGAATTCAGATGCTGAGATGTTGTAAAAGAAGAGAGATTTCAAATGTGA